TCAGCAGGTCAGGGTAAAGGGGAAGACAGTAGAATAATAGGGGCTTTCCTCCAGCCTCTACCCAGGGATTCTCTTAAGATACTGTCATCAGAAAAGAACACACTGCTCAAAGTTGCACTGGTGGCAAATTACTGATATTTAAGTGCAAATCAGGATCCTTCCTGAAATTGCCTCTTGGAGATGAGGAATTTAAACCTATGCCACTCTCATGTAGATAATTGGAAATCCGACCCCTAATTGCAGGAGTACCTCACTCCTTCCAGCTCCATCTTGGAAGGCATCCCCCCTCCTTCCCCTGGAGGCTTAGATAGCCAGCCGGCCACTCACCTTCCGAGGGCTGAAGAGCCACCCAGGCAGCCAAGGCCACGAGAGCGAGTCTTGTCTGCTGCATCCCTGCCTGCCCCAGCAGCTCGACAGCACCGCAGGTGAGCCTGTTAAGATCAGGAAATGAGGCTAAAAGTGCCCTTGGGTTCAGAGAAAGAGCGTGGAGGAAAGCAAGCCAGAAAGCTCCACCCTGGTAGGTGCTAGGGTACCTCTTTCTCATTTTTCTTTCCTTGAAACCAGGCTCTTTCTTAAGACCAGACCTGTGTTCAACCACCTGAGGGATCAGGTGATGTCTGTGGTGATCTGACCTCTGGTGAGATTGCTGTGAGTTTGGAGGTGTGCATCAATTTGGGGACCATTAAAAATAGCTACCTACATGAATTCCTCCACAGTTATAAATCAGAATTTTGGAGTAGAGGACCAGTAATTTGAAGGTTTTTGTTTTTTTTTTTTGCGGTACCGTTGTGGAGCACAGGCTCCAGACGCGCAGGCTCAGCGGCCATGGTTCACGGGCCCAGCCGCTCCATGGCATGTGGGATCCTCCCGGATCGGGGCACGAACCCATGTCCCCTGCATCGGCAGGCGGACTCTCAACCACTGCGCCACCAGGGAAGCCCCTAATTTGAAGTTTTAAAAAGCTCCGTCGGTGATTCTGATGGATACCTCTATTGAGAACCATTGTGTAAAGGAATCAGTTTTTTAGTAGCTTATTGAAACTGAGTTTCTAGGGACAAAGGTGGCAAGTCATAAAAAACATTATCTGGTGGAAAGATGGGAAAATTCAACCCCATTCTCGTCTTGGTCTGCAGCCAAAGTGTTTCCAGTGAGGCTGTTAGTTTATTTAGGAGAAAGGTAATGAGACAGGTAGAGGGGCTATGCCTGGTAAAAAAGAGCCCCAGAGCAGGTGTGAGCAGGCATGAGGAGGTGTGGGCTCTAGTCCAGCTTTGTCACTAATCAGCTTTGTGAATACAACTATAGGGTAGGCTGAGGGTAGTTGGGTTCTAATCCTGCCTTTTCTACTAACTGGTTACATAACCTTAGCAAATGTTCTTAACTTTAAATAAGAAGTCAGGCTGGATGACCTCCAAAGTCCTGCCATGCTTCCTCTAACTGCACTGTCTCATGCAGTAGCTTCTTGTCCATATGTGGTCCTTTAGCATTTGAAATGTGGTAGTCCAAATTCACATGTGCTATAAGTGTAAAATACAGAATTTCAAAGACTTGGTACAAAGAAATATAAAATATCTCGTTAATAATTTTTGTATTGATTATATGCTGAAATGATAATATTTGATATATTGAGTTTCATAAGCTATATTATTAAAATTATTCACCTGCTTTTTTACTTTTTTTAATGTGACTACTCAGAAATTTCTAAATTACTTATGTAGCTTACACTCTATTTGCACTGGGGAGCGCTACCTTATAAGGTCAAGAGCTCGAGGTCAGAATTGTCCCCCAGCTGTCAAGTTGTGGTACTTAACCAAGCTCTAATTTCACTATCAAGAACTGGAGTTATAATAAAATAGGAAATGGGAGCTTTGTGGGCACAGGGCTAGGCCAAGAATGGGAAAACCTAGTCATGCAGAGCAGCCGTTCCAGACTCTGCCACTAAGCAAAGGTCTTAAGACTCCTGCCGAAGTTCTCGGAAATAGAGCACAGAGATCCTGCAGAGGTGACTGTCAAGGCCCATGAAGCTATATGCGCCCACCACAACTGCGCAGCCTCTGGACCTAGCAGAGGACCAGGTGCTCTGAAGGTGAGTCAGGGAAGCTGCACAAAAGTTATGTTCTGAAACAGCCACAGTTAAGAAATTATTTTGATTTACAGAAACAACACAGGTACATAAACATTCAGTCACCAGCCTGCCACTGTGCCTGAAGTTCCTGCCCTAAGAGGCCTTCTTGAGGGTGGCTTCTATGCAGTAGAAAAAAGCCTCTGTTCAGATGAAATGAAGGATGACTATTGGGTAATAGGAGTGATTTTAATCAAACAGGAAGGCTGGGCTCGGTTTTGATGAACCTGGGATTAGACAGACCCTATGCACTTTTTCGAGAACTCTTACTTGTTTCTCTATTTAGCAGGAAAGCTACCCTTTCACTGTGTGCCTGTCTCCTCTGCCAGGAAATGTCACCATGGGCCTTCCAGGAAAAAGACCTAGGGACAGAATCTGGACTTGGAGAGCACAGGGGCCCCTCCTTGAGTGTCACAGGTTATTAGTACTTTTCCTCTCCTTCCTGGAGGTCACTGCTGAGATGGTGGCTTGGGTAGTGGTAACCTGAAGACAGTTGGTGTGGCTCGAGGAACCAAAAGCATTAAAGCTTTTGCACTTGTGAAATTACCACCTTTAGAATGGCAGCCTCGGGCAAGGCATTAAGTCAGCCTGGTGTTAAAAAGCAAACCTGAGGGGCTTCCCTGGTGGCGCAGTTGTTGAGAGTCTGCCTGCCAATGCAGGAGATATGGGTTCGTGCCCCGGTCCGGGAAGATTCCCACATGCCGTGGAGCTGCTAGGCCCGTGAGCCATGGCCACTGAGCCTGCGCGTCCGGAGCCTGTGCTCTGCAGTGGGGAGAGGCCACAACAGTGAGAGGCCCGCGTACCAAAAAAAAAAAAAGCAAACCTGACATCCACCAGCAGATCAGTTTGACTGGGGTGAGGGCAAAATTGGGATGGGACTTTGGAGAGAACATGGTGCAAGCTGTAATTATGGGGTGTGTATGTCTGTGTGTGACAGGGTGTTCACTAGGCAGATGTGGACCAGAATTAACTGGGAAGGAGCTTCAAGAGTGGTATCAGAGCTTCCCTGGTAGCCCAGTGGTTGAGAGTCCGCCTGCCGATGCAGGGTACACGGGCTCGTGCCCCGGTCCGGGAAGATCCCACATGCCGCGGAGCGGCTGGGCCCGTGAGCCATGGCCGCTTAGCCTGCGCGTCTGGAGCCTGTGCTCCGCAACGGGAGAGGCCACAACAGTGAGAGGCCCGCGTACCACAAAAAAAAACAAAAAACAAAATAAAACAAAAAAAACGAGTGGTATCAGCAACTTTGATTATTTAAATATTGTTATCTGGGCTCAGGGCTTCTACAAAACCAAATGAGGAGGAGCCTGGGAAACGTATGCCTTTAGGACCTAGGGGAAAGATAGTTGGAGGGTAGAGCAATAGAATGAAACAGTTTGAGTACAATCTAAAACAGTATGGTTCTGTGTTTTCCATTGTCCTTGGCAAAGAATACCAGGCTGCAAACTTAAAAAAAAAGAAATCTATACACACACACACACACACACACACACACACGCACATACATATATTTTACTCTACCCAGAAAAACCAAATCGTTTTCACTTTAAAGAGAAGTAAAGTGTGAACCTCCGATTGTCATAAAAATACTTGATGCCATCCAGGCCCTAGGTGAAATGGCCAGTTTGGGTTAGGGAGATGAAGATTTCTAAACAGTAGCTTTCACAAAATAAAATTAATTTCCCTTGAAGATTTGTCTTGAAATAAGTATATAGATTGATATTTTGAAAATCATGTCAACTTTTATTTTTATTTTTTGGCCACGTCACACGGCATGCAGGATCTTAGTTCCCCAACCAGGGATCGAACCCCTGTCCCCTGCAGTAGAAGCGTGGAGTTCTAACCACTGGACTGCCGGAGAAGTCCCCATGTCAACTTTTAAATGTCCTAGAAGAATTTAAAATTTAATGGCCTCCTCCATTAATCTTTTGGTGATGAGAATAATCACCTTTTAACCTCTGTGATATGAAGAGCCAAAGAGGGGTCTCTGTTTCAAAACTGAGCTTCAAATACTTTATGGTAGGCTCTGAGTTACCATTTTTGAATATAGTATGTTGTTCTCTTCTGATTATAAAATTATATTGGGTCCACTGTAAAAAAATTGGAATATATAAAAAAATATAAAGAAGGAAAATGTTTAAATATCCAGAAATAAAGTTTCTTAACCTTTGGTGCATATTCCTCCAGTCTTATTTCTGTGCATATTCATGCGGAGCACAGGCTCCGGACGCGCAGGCTCAGCGGCCTTGGCTCACGGGCCCAGCCGCTCCGCGGCATGTGGGATCTCCCCGGACCGGGGCACGAGCCCGTGTCCCCTGCATCGGCAGGCGGACTCTCAACCACTGCGTCACCAGGGAAGCCCAACATTTGGATATTTATCTTTTTGATTTTTTATCTGTAAGTATAGTTTATTTTCTTACAAAAATAGAGTCATATAACACTTTCTGTTTTGTGACTTTTTAAAAAAATTGAAGTGTAGTTGATTTAGAATATTATAGTAGTTTCAGGTATACAGTATAGTGATTCAGCATTTTTAAAGACCACTCTCCATTCATAGTTATTACTACGGCTTCCCTGGTGGTGCAGTGGTTGAGAATCCGCTATGAAATGCTATGATAATCAGTTCTATACACTTTCTTCATTCATCTCAAAATTTTCTTAAATAAATTCTTAGAAATGGAACTTCTCAAAGGGTATGCCCATTTAAATCACTTTTTAATGTATATTGCCAACTTATCTCACACTGTCGTATATACGTGTGTGCCTCTGCCCTCCAATAGAGTGGGGCTCAATTAGGACAGGGCCTGTATCTTACTCATCATTATACCCCCAGTGCCTCATTCAGTGCTCAGCAAATACTAGAGGCTTAGTGTTGAATAAACAAGAAATTAGATTATTTGAACAAGCCTTCACTATATGGGCAAAATCTTGCCAGTGTGGTCACAGATGTCCACGGTTGGTACTTGTGGCCTCTTCTGAATATCTATAGTCTAATTGGTAATAATATTTCAAATATTCATTTCTCAGAATGAGTTGTTTTCTATACCACACAGAAAACAAAAAAATTATGCATTGAGTTTTCCTTAAAGCACGGAGGACAGTTAGTTGTAAAAAGATATATCACCAGGGAATTTGTAGGCTTGAAACAAGGGTCAAGGGTGAGTGATTGAGTGAGTGAGAGAGTGAGTATGTGATATTTCAGAAATTTGTATTCTTTAGAAATGAGTTAGAACATCTTTCAGCTGAGAAGGCTTTTAGGAAAGCCATGCTAGGTCTCTTTCAGTGCCACAGTTTCTGATTTATACTTT